TGCAACTTCTCAAGCAGCTCACGTCTCAAGTCGTGACCTCTGATGGGCTGATCTTTCGGAAAGGTCACCCAGCAGATCTCTTCACCAGTCACAGCTCGCATTGCCTGCATCAGGATGCAAGTGGTCAGGCTTGAGGCATGCACCGAGAGAACAGTGCATTGGGCGGGCATCTCCTTCACAAGTATTTTGTCATAGAACCTTTTGCTCTCAAACAAGAAGAGCCCATCCTTCTCCTCCATCAGTTTGAAGGGATAGAAACCGCCGGTCAAGCTGGACATCCGCAGGAAGATTTGCTGACCTTCACCCCTCAGTCGTTCCTCCTGTGCAGGAGGGAGCCTTTTCCACTTATCTGGCAGCGAAGCCAGGTCTGCAGACATTGCAAACGATGCCTTCACCTGCGTGTATACATAGGCTTTCATGACTACACAAGTGCACAGGTGCCAACGTACTGATCCTGATCCAAAAAACGCTGACAAGTCAAGCACAGAAGCGCGCATGCAATGTTCTGGCTAAACGCTTGCAGGACTGGTTCTGATACTGCTTGATTCTACAAGTATCCAAGTACAGAGACGAAAGTTGCATCAGCCATGGTGGAAAAAGTTTGATAACTGCTTGCGCGCATGCTTGGCTCTTATATTAAAATCAAATTGATTCTACAAGTATCCAAGTACATAGACGAAAGTCACGAATCTCAACGTTTTCCATCAGAACCATGCGCGCAAGTCTGCTCAAGGGAAGCTTTATGTAGCGGGCTAGCGATCAGCCTTAGATCGATCAGTCTTCCTCGATCCACTTCAAGGCGCGCACAAAGCTTGCCTTCTCTTCGTCCGCGGTCTTGCCGATCTTGATCTTCTTGTCGGTTTTGTCACTGCGATGTTTGAAGCATCGCCAATGGCCTGAGGTATCGTTTCTGTGGACTTTTCCGGCCTTCCAAAAGAAGGTGCCATCACCTTTCTTGGGAACCGCAGCCTTTTCAGCCGACTCAGGCTGCTCCTTGGGCACAGGTCGACCGCGCCGCGGCGTCTTGAAATCATCTTCAGACTTGGACTTCAATTCTGGTTTGGCTTTTGGCTTGACCGCCTTGTTCTTGGGGGTCTTTTTTGACTTGGCCTCGTCTCCACCTCCCTCCGCCTCTTCAGCCTCAGCAGCTGCCTTGGCAGCCTCTGCCTTCTTTTCCTTTTCCCTTTCTTTGCAAGCCTTCTTCACAGCTTCCATGGACAAAAGCATGGCCGGATCTGGAGCTTCAGCTGCAGCTGCTGGAATGGCCTGAACTGAGGGTGCAGCTGCTGGAATGGCCATTTCTGGCTTGGACGGTGCAGCTGGAAGGGCCATTTCTGGCTTGGACGGCGCAGCTGGAAGGGCAATTTCTGGCTTGGATGGTGCAGCTGGAGCTGGAAGGGCCAACCGCGTGCTCGCATGTGCCCCTGAAGGTGCAGCCTCCGCGGGACTCTCCCCTCCAGTCAGCATCTTTTGTCTTTTCCTCCGGTTGTCAAAGATTTGAAAGCCTGCAGGCGTGTCCTGCGTCTGCAGCTGCCCTCGCATCATGGCCATGCACTGCATCATCATCTGCTGCCAATTCTCCATATTCATGTTCATGGTGCCCGTCGCGCTTTGGTCTCGAACTTGGGAGTTCGTCTTTCGTACAGGAATCTTGTGCCCCAATCCCTCAAAGCCTCCGCATGAGCTATACAGTCCAAGGTTACCGAAAAAATCACATCTTCGCCCCCGAAAACAATGTAGATAGAATTTGCTTGTCAGACACGCGCAGGACCCAAACAATCAAACCATCCGAAAAACATCTATAATCTATACATAAGTTCGTTTCAACAACAATTCATCAAACTCTTTCAGTGCATTAAACCGCGCCTGCTGCAAGTGCTGCAGCCCCCATAGGTTTATCATCTTCTTCTGGGCTTTCTCCGTATGCCTGTTTCCACAGCTCATCCGGAAGATCGTCTGGACTTGCTGGGAAATGTTCCAAGTGCACGCTGCTCTTTGGCTGGTGCTTGATCTTCGCTTTGAGTTGGGACTTGAACTCCTTCAACAGATTATACTGGGCATTGGGAGATGCTGCCACGACACCACCTGAAAGGTCGTATGCAACAAACAAACCACGAAACATCTACCAATGACGCATGTTGTAAAAGCATTGATCAATAGCACACCACCCACATGACTCCATCATACATGCCAAATTCCACTCATGTTCGATTATATATATATATATATATGCACCTTCCACCATGCACCCAACGATGTGCTTCACTGTGGCGGTGTTGGGAAGGTGCAAGGACAAGTTGACGCAGCGATCCACGACGCAGCTCAACTTCACCATGTTATGCACATCGGATCTCAGGACCTTGGCATCGTTGGGAGTGATATAGCATGGAAAGCTCTTAAGCTCCTGCGCAGGTCGACGCGGAGCAGGTCCTTCAGTACCCATCATGCTCTCGGAAAGCGCGTTGCCCAACGCACCCTTCTGTTCTTCATTCCATGGCCCTGATGCAAGGATGCCAGTAACAGTGGCGCAATCTGAAGGTGAGAGCTTTGAAGACCTAAAGCGAGAGCACCAAGTAGAACTCTGCTTACCGACGATCACCCGGAACTGATCAGGCGCCAAAAGCTTTCGCTGTCCCTCGAGGAACTCTTGGGTATGTTTCAAATCAGCCACCAATGACGACATGGCTGCGCAACACAGAGTCGTGTAAGACTCAACCTACCAGCGCAGCAAACAACCCTTTTGAACATGAATGGAAAAAGCGCAGCAAACAACCACGCAGGCAATGAAACAAGTGATTAGTTCTCACAGGGTGCATGCACGCTAAGCAATGACAGCACTCACGCAATCAAACTTTGTTGTGCACTTCTTCGTTGCTGGACCAACAACGACACAGTTCTCACGGCGCCAGCAACTTTGTCAGTGCGAACAACAAATCCTTTTGTTCTGGTGCCTTGTCCCCTGAGGTTGGAAAACTCAGTGCACATCACATGCGAGCTCACAACCCAGCATGCGGCGAGTGCATAGCAATCCAACCCAACTTTCAGACAAAAAACAATCGATGCAAAGTCGATATTGGTATGGTAGTTTGGAAAATACATATCTCAGCAAACTTAGCAAAGTGACAAGCACAAGAAGCTAGCGCACTGCCAACAAAACACGTCCAAATCTCTTTCCTAGCGGCGTGCTCACAGTTCAACAAAAACCTCAAGCCTATGGTGCTTGATACCCAATCTAGCTATTGCGTGAGACGGGCCAAGCCTTCCTTCGAGACTGGCAAGAATTGCATCTCAGAGATCCACCATCCCTTGGGCTGCTTCCCAAACTTCCTGCGCTTGATCTCAGGCTCATACCTCGGCTTGGGGTGGAACACAGTGTCCAAGGCGTTGATGACCTGGCTTGATTTGGAAGTGGTGAGGGCCAACTGCGTGTACTCTGTGCACGCGCCATTTGAAACGAGCTTCTCCCGAAGAGCGCTGCACAAGTCGTGGCCTCTGATGGCCTCACCCTCATTCCACATGATCACGGTGCACAGCTCCTCCCCCGTAAAACTGTTCAAAGCCTGGAAGGCAACCCCCTGGTCCAACAAGGACGCGTAGATGGACAGCTGCTTGCGTCCAGCCTCCACCCTTCGCGCCAAGACCTCGTTGGTGAACTTCTGGGAACGAAACAGCCAAAGCTTGTCATTCCTTGCTTGAAGGTGAACAGGGAAGAGGCCGCCTGAGGCAACTCCCATGCCCAAGTACAGCTTCTGGGCGCCATCGTGCATCCTCTTCTCCTGACCCGCAGGTAAGCGCCTCCATTCGAGTTGGTCCAAGTCCACGTAGAGGAGGTCAGCAACCGTGTCGGCGCGAACGTAGGCTGCTTCAAAGACACACGCGACCATTGTCACCAACTGTGAACAAAAGCAGTGAGCACGAAAAAGACGTTTGAGAGCTCAAACTGCCGAATCCTTTTGCACAGCCCTCTGACGACTGTTCTGCGTGTCATGCACATGGGTTGATCACATATCGAAACATGGTCCTAGGACACTGCTGAAAAATGTTGTTTTCTTATCGTTCTATCACAATCAGTTTGTCAATGTGTTTTAGGAGGTGAAATCCATGAAGCCCCGTGAAAGACAATTTGCAAGGAATGTCGAGACTGCCGAAGCGCCATCACATCTTCAATGCGGGAATCCCTTCGGACAATGACAAATTCGTAGACTGTCCGGGACATGGATACAAATGAGGCGATGGAAAAAAAAAATATATATATATAGCGGTCAACTCACGGGAGGCGTGAATCAACACCTTGCGGAGTGAATCAAAGCCTTATGCGCGTGAACAAAAACATGCAAAGCTTTGTCGCTGCCAGCATGGCCGGGAATGGGAAACAGAACTGCAATGGAATGGCTCACACGAGTACCTTTTCCATCCAAGGGAAGAAGCGCAATCTCACGTCTCACTGGAACTCAGTTTGCAAGATCCATACACTCACAGATGCACACGGTCGTCGCACGTTGAGTGGACACCGCCCATGGTCCTTCATGTACCAGGAGCTGAAGTCCCACAATGCCAGCTTTGGCGTGCGCGCTGGCACATCATGGCGCGAGTGCCATGTCCATGTCAATGTATGTTTCTGTCTTTGTATTATCCATATAGGCAGCCTCGTGAATCAGCACAGGCATTCACGCATTTAGTTTTGTGTTGTAGATCCGGTTGAGGTATTGGATCCATCACATGGCCGCCACCTTCATAGCCTTCATGGCTGTCGAACACTTCATGGCCTTGCCTGCCATGGCCTTTACGATGGCCTTTGAAATTTCAGCTTGAGCTCTCACAACAAGACTCTTGAACAAACAGCATTCACATGGCCCTCTTGAACTTGTGCTAGCAAACTTAGCAAACTGACAAGCACAAGAAGCTATTTCCACCTTACATGCGACTTGTTTGCCTGTTTGCGGCGCATACTGTCTGAACGTCTTCGTTGAACGGTTGACAGTGTGACCTACTAAAAGGCGTCACAGTTGTTTGCATAGCGTTTGCAAGTGTTGGCATATAGTGTTTGGCATGCTGCGGCTGAAAACTATCCATGACATCATGCGCACGTTTGTATATATCAGTTTCTCCTAACCTATGGTGGAACTTGCCACTTGCAAAAACACGTGCCAAGTCAGGAAGAACATGGAACAAAGAAGAAACACTTCATGTTTGAACTTCCACAAGCCATGACAGCATTGTTCAACATACGAACGGGGTCCTAGATCTCGCCGTGGATTCTGAGGTGTGCCTGTTCAACCTCAGGACAGGGTCAGACTCAACCTATGTTCAACCTAATAGCCTGGAGCATGCAAGCAGACCATGCAAGCAAACAACTCAAACTTGCCACCATACTGCACACAAGACCCCACAACCCCAGTCTTTTCAGTCATACTGCAGGCAGTCACCTTTCATGCGTGGGAATGGCGTGGGGGGCCTTATCTGACGCATGAAACACCAACACAAAACATGTCTGCGTGTGACCCTCAGCAAAGTGTCTCGTTTGTGGTCTCTTCCTGTCTCGTCATCAGGCCGTCTCATCAAAGGGGCACAGGACAACACGCATGGAACGCGAGCTTGTGTGGGTACAAAAAGGACCTTGTTTGGTAAAGTATGGAGGGCCGGATGCTTTGGGCCTGTTGAGTTTAGTTCATTTGACACACCCACACAGCACAGCATTCATTGACGCACAAAACACAAGCAAGCAACCTATATAATAGGGGAAACATGTGTATATGCTTGTGGCCCTCAGCAAGGTGTCTCGTTTGTGGTCTCTTCATGTCTCTTCATCAGGCCGTCTCATCAAAGGGGCAAAGGACAACACGCATGGAACGCGAGCTTGTGTGGGTAAAAAAAGGACCTTGTTTGGTAAAGTATGGGGGACCGGATGCTTTGGCCCTGTTGAGTTTAGTTCATTTGACACACCCACACAGCACAGCATTCATTGACGCACAAAACACAAGCAAGCAACCTATATAATAGGGGAGCAGCCACCAGGAAACATGTGTATATGCTTGTGGCCCTCAGCAAGGTGTCTCGTTTGTGGTCTCTTCATGTCTCTTCATCAGGCCGTCTCATCAAAAGGGCAAAGGACAACATGCATGGAACGCGAGCTTGTGTGGGTACAAAGAGGACCTTGTTTGGAGTCTAAAGCATGGGGGGCCGGATGCTTTGGGCCTGTTGAGTAGTTCATTTGACACGCCCACACAGCACAGCATTCATTCACGCACAAAACGCAAACAAGAAATACAATCCAACGCGACCATTGTTCTAAATCAACATGCACGTATACCAAGGGCTTTTACTCCATGGCAAGCGACGTGGAAGCGAGCCCAAGTCCCAACCTCCCTCCAATTCAACTGACACCGCACGGCCAAATGCAGACAAGGCCCCATCCAGTTTTGGACGTCATAAGGCATGCAAAAGTCACCTCCAGCGCAGTAAAGTGCCAGAAACACGTGCAGATCAGGCTGGGCAATATGCTCGCGTGAGATCATTGAGAAGAATGTTGCAATAAAAAATAAGCGTTTATACTTTTGGGGTCAGCCCAAATCCAAGAAGTGTATAGGAAGTTATGCGATTGGTCTTCAAAGCAGAGTTGTGGAGTCACAAAAAAAATAATTAGAATTTTGTGGGTCACAAAAATCTAAATCAGAAAATTGTGCAATCACAAAACTGTTTAGTTTTTTTCAATGAGTTTTTGTGATTGCACAATTTTCTGATTTAGTTTTTTGTGACCCACAAAAATCTAATTGGTTTTTTTGTGGAATCACAAAAACCTAAATGATTGCGAACCCAGACCTTGATATGGGGCGTCCCCCCACGGGGGAAACTCTCGCCAATTTTTTTCCAGACATTTTTGAATCACGATGATTTTTTCTAAGGTTTTGACGCTTTTTGCGACTGACGACAGTATACTGTTCTTATCGCGATTGAGGGACAGTCCTTATGTTTTTGCATTTTCACTAAACAGGGAATTCAAGCTGAAACACTTGTCGACTAGATCCAAATTACCTTCAGTGAGGCTTAAGTAAAAGCTCAAACATCCAACCAAACAAAAGCTCAAGCAACAACCCACCAAGCTGTGCTCCTGCCTGTGGCCCTTGACAGAGCCCGTGAAGCACTCCACAAGCACCTGCACCAATCCAGCAAATACGTCTACCAAGGACACGCACACACAAAGTTCAAGAAGGGTGTACAGCGAACAAGTTTAGCTTACAAAGACCTTACAAAGTCTACGTTGGCGACAGTACTGTTCTTATCGCGATTGATCAACAGTGCTCATGGTCTGCATCTTCACTGACAAGAAACCAAGCTGGAACACTTGTCAGTTACATCCAAATGACTCTCAATGATTCAAGCAAAAAACAACACCATCCAACAACCAACATCAACCATCAACAACAACAACACACCTCCAATCTGCGCTCCTGCCTGCGTGAAGCCCTCCACAAACACCTGCACCAACCAAGCAAATGAGTCTACAAATAACATGAACACACAAAGGCAATGTTCAAGAAGGATGTACAGCTGCATTGCACAAACCACTGTCAATGAAAGAGTTGCTGGAGGCTGCTGGTGTGGCCAGAATCGATTGAGAGTTGTTGAAAGTGAAGTTTCTGTTGATTCATGTCGACATGGAAATGCTCAGATTCGCACTTCACA